AGCAAAAAGAGTGATAATAGCCCTTACTCAGAAGGTTGTGGGTGAATGAAGTAACTTCTCACATATCTTGAATAAACAGTGTCTGGGGCATAGTGTATGTTGGGTCAATATTGGAAGTTTCTATTATTAGAATGTTGGAGAGGAAGACAGATTTGAGATGTGGAGTATTCTTGCCAGGTTTTCTTTTTTCTTTTCTTTTTCTTTCTTTTGTGTGTGTGTGTATTTTATCTTCCTAAAGAGTAATTGAATAAAATGAGCTGAGTTAATGAGGCCTTTAGTTGTTTACCTGGAGGCAATGAATCTTTCAAAGTCATTAATCTGCATTTATGGAAGACAGAACAGGAACATATCATATATAGCCACCATTTCATATTTGGTGGAACAAAGAGACTTGGTGGGAGCTGTGACTGTGGAGCACTCGTTTGAATCTCTGTGCTGTGGATTCCCAGAAGTTCTGGGTCAAAAGCTAGGCTTATTTAAAATTATATATAATTCAATTCATATCCAGAATGATTTTACCAATTTATAACAGTGTAGGAGAACACCTCTTTCTCCATATCCAAGAGATTGGTATTTTAACGAGTACACTGGAACTTGACACATCTAATTTATAACAATCTACTTGTTAGGTATCTCCTACAGTGGGAAATCATTGCTCTTAATGGGGCTATTTTAAGAAATAGGTTAGTCATTTAGAAGTAAATCTAGAGAGTATTAAGCTGGCCCATCAGAGAAAAAGGGGAAAGGTTTGAGGTTGGTAGAGCTGATATCATAAAAGAAAAAAAAAAGGATTTCTTTATAAACTGTCTCCCTTCCAATTTCCTTCCCTCCATTCATTTCTTCCTTCTTTCCATCATGTGTTTAGGCAAGAGTGAGTAAAAAGGTACTTAATTATGTCACAGTAGGCGCATTCCAAAAATATGAGCAAGCATTTTATCACAGAATTATATATCTAGTTTCCTTAATCATCTATTTTAAAGAATGGAATGTGTTAACTGGGGGCAGATTTCCCATGAAGCTACAGAAATTTAAGGCTTCAGGTACTTTACTTGTTTCGACCCATTCCTGTGAGGACCCTAGAAACTTTGCATTCATCATTTTATATTCTTTTTCTTAGCGGGACCTCCAAAATTGTATAAGCTTCAGGCCCTACAGATTTGCTCCAATAATGATAAATATTGAAATGGTTGTATAAAACAATAACATTCCTTGAAAATCTCACCTAATATGCTCTCCTTTTTGCTTCCCCTTACTACTTCCCACCCTCCTCCTGATGAACTATGCAACTATGCAACAACAAAATCATTATTAGGTTAACAGGTTTCCAGCTACTGATCCTCGTGTATGTGCTAAGTACGGAAGTAATTGTGTGTCTAGGGCCATTACTAGCACATGTGGGGACTAAAAAAAATTATAATAATACTTTTCCTCCCATTTTCTAAGTTATTCTAGCTGGTCAATCACATTACTAGAGACAGGTTAACAGGAGAAAATCAAATTTTTAATACACGTGCATGGGGAATTCGCATAAGTATGAAAATTCCAAAGACAGTGAAGAAATATTAGGTATATGTGACATTTTAGACAAAGGAGAAAAAGGGGGTGAGACAAGGTCTTAGACTTTAAAAGTGAGAATGGGCGATTTACAAGTAGTTGAGAAAGAGCCTTAACAAACTTGACAGGAAAATTCTTGCTAGGTTAACTCAGAAACAATGGGACACAAGGCTATCTAACAAACTGACCCCTGACAAAAGCCTTTCTATTTACCATACTTAATTCAAATTAGTCTAAAGCAAATATTCTAGGATTTACTTCCTGAAGCAGGTTTTACTACCTGAATCTCTTGGACAGGAAGTGGGGGAGGGTTAAAGTTTCTTCGTAAGTCTTATTTCTTATTTGCCAGCTTAAAATCAATATCCCAAAAGGCAAACTTTTTGTCCCCTTCACAACATTTAATATACATTAGAAAAAGGTAACACTTTGAGTCTGACAATTTGCAAATAAACATTCCCTCAAGTGGACCAATTAGAAAAAAGTTGCCACTCCCTCCTGGCTGATGCAGATTTGTGGGAGGTCACAGGTCTTGGCAAGCAGTGCATGACCTTTATTTCAGTCTCAATTCACTTCCTTTCTCTGGAGCTTTCACGTGGAGACCACAACTTGTGCAATTACCATGACCTCTCTGTGTCCCTAGTTTGTTTCAGATATGTTATTGAGGATGCGTGCAAATGCTTTTTGAAGCCAAGATAAATTATATCCATCAATACTCCAAGAGTTTTATCACTGCCATAGACGATATTGATATTGCTTAAAGTTTGTTCTTCACCAAGCCAACTGATAGTGCCTGTAGATTAATTAGTGTTGATTTCTCCAATTATTTGCTGGTATGTTGCTGGGGAAGAGAGACGTCCGTGAGCCTGCAGGCCTTAATGAACTGATTTTGTTTGAAAACGGGGGAATATCTGGCTGTATACTAGTCTTTGTGATCATAAAATTTCACCTAGATACAA